ATCCTTCCCTGGTTCAAAAATTTATTTTTTTTCGGTTAAATACAAAAGAAGATATTTTGTAGAAAGCTGGTCACCGGTAACCATTGACTTCTATTGTATTTATTTTTCATACTATGGATGTCAATGGTTACCGGTTTTCAGCTGTCTTTAAAATATGTGGAACAAATGTGTTGAACAGAATAGAAAAACAAAGGTTTCAGGACACCTGATGATGACCAAACAGTAAGTTTGATTTTTTTTGAGTAAACTATACCTTTGTAGCTTAACATGGTGCCCTATGGAAAACATTTAGTTGATCTAAGATAGTTTGAGATATATTGGAAGCCAAAACTGTATAGGTTGGCAAATAACAGACTTAGTGAAGAAAAAAAAAGTCTGATAAAGCCACCTGATAAATGTCTACGGCATAAGCTATAACGATAAAGGATTTTAAATCTATATTAAATATATAATCTATAAGTATTTGGTATCCCCAGCAGACTATAATGTTCAGTTCATTATAAGTAAGATCTGCTGTTATATCATCTGCCACTTTACTGTTCAAAAAACACTGTATCCGGAATTTAACTGTTCATTAACAAAATATTAAAGTTTTTGACAACTGCAACAGCATTGTCATCTTCGTTCAAACTATAAAAATACACTTTTGTGAAAATGGTAACATCATGCATTACTTGTTCATATGTATATGTGAGTTTTTTGAACACCAAAATAACATTGGTCTACAGAGTTTCCTTACAAAGTGACACTGCAATACTGGTCTGACACATATAATGCAGCTTCATTAATTATTTTTGCGATGTAAACGGGGTCATTTTGAAAATTTTGTCATCTGTACGTTAAACCTTTCAAAAATGTGAAAGAAACATACACTCTAAAATGCTTCAGTCCAAATTTTTAGGCAAATATGGACTAACACAACTTTTAGGGTGAAAGATTATTGAAAATATGACCCATTTATTTAATTTTTCCATATTTTATCCAAATGTGAGTTGAAACAACTCGTGATATAGATGTGTTAATTTTTTTCTTTTTAAAATATTTCCAAAATGATGTTTAACAGAGCAAAGAAATTTTCACAGTATGTCTAATAATATTTTTTTCTTCTGGAAAAGTCTTATTTGTTTTATTTTAGCTAGGATAAAAGCAGTTTTTTTTCATTTTTTAATAACCATTTTAAGGTCAAAATTATTAGCCCCTTTAGGAAATTTTTTTTTACGATAATCTACACAGAACAAACCATTATTATACAATAACTTGCCTAATTACCCTATCCTGTCTAGTTAACCTAATAAACCTACTCTCTTCACTTTAAGCTGTATAGAAGTGTCTCGAAAAATATCTAGTCAAATATTATTTACTGTCATCATGGCAAAAATAAAATAAATCAGTCTATTAAAAAAGTTATTAATAGTTATTATAGAGTTATTAAAACTATTATGTTTAGAAATGTGTTGACATTTTTTTTCTCTCCGTTAAACAGAAATATGGGAAAAAATAAACAGGAAGGTTAATAATTCAGGGGGACTTCAACTGTATTTATTCATTAGCTGGATAAATCAGTCAGAAATAAATGTAAAACAATAATGTTAGTATGTGTCGCTGTCATTAACTGCAGTGTGGCCTTTCATATTTTCATGGAATCATTATTGTTCTAGTTTTTAGTATTTGTAATTATTGTACTTGGTGTGAACCGACCCGAGGAGAGGGGGATGCTCAGTATGAAAGGGAAGATGCGTAATCTACACTGTCTCACTGGGGATAGTGTATGCCATGCTGTCAACACTTAGTGGGCCTCCACACATGCTCACTTTCACCCATGATATTAGTTACAGCTGTAAATGCTGTCATAAACCTATAGAGAGTGGTGTGTCATTGTTAATGTTTCATGCAGACCTTCATTTTAATATTTTAATGTTTGGTAATAATGATGCAATAATAATGTAATGCTGTTCAAATTTTTACATTTGTAATTGTACAATTTTCAGGATGGATATAGTATATAAAGTCTATGATTTTGAAAATAAATGCTTGTACCTAAAAGAATAGTTCACATAAAAGTTATTGTTTACTCACCCCTTCACTTTTTACAAACCAGTTTGATTTTTTCTTCTGTTGAACACAAAATAAGATATTTTGAAGAATGTTGGAAACCAATGACTTTTTTTTTATTATGAAAGTTGTTGGTTAAAGTTTTGCAACATTCCTTAATTTATTTTATTTTATGTATTTTATGTTTAGCAAAAGAAACTCTGGTTTGGAACAAGTAAAGGGTGAGTAAATGATGACACAATTTTCAGTTTTTGGTTACCTATTTCTTCTTATTATTATTATTATTATTATTTCTTCTTATTATTATTATTTCTTATTTTTGTGTAATATATCAATAATTTGGCGCTACAGTCAGTTTGAAAAAATGTTGGAAATCGTTTTGATAATACTTTATAATACACTAAAAATAGAAAGTCTAGTAGGCTACAAGCATGTTGCATTAAGGGGTAAAGTATTCTGTGCAGTTAGCAATCTTCTCTTTTGTTCATTATCAGCAAATGATTGAAGTAGGTCATCTAGATATTCATCCAGAAATGTGCATGCTTGGTGTGCAATACAATGTAGAGCAGTGATGTTAAGATCAGCGTAATTGTATGTTTTTCTAAACATAGCCTAACTCTCATTAACTCACTGATGTTATTAAATTAGAATAGCAGGTTTAATCACTAAGGGTCTTCCAAGCTTCTAAACAGCTTAGGAGAATCAATCCCTGACTAGACCTGTTAAGAAATCCAGTAGGCCTTTCAATTGAGATGTTTAGTGTGAGGTGTAGACATGTGCTGATATTCAATTACACAAGATATCGTAATACTGAAGAAGCATGTGAGTGCTTCAAAATACTGTGGATAATTATTAAAATGTAAACTTTTAGAATGACTTAAGTATATTCAGATTGTTTTATTGACAGTAGTGTTTAGCATTACACAAAATACTTACAAATTTTATAGGCTATTGTTCTTATCATGAACAAATCTACAAGTTATTCTGTCCTACAACATACCTGAGATATTGATTGAAAATGTTTTGATTCTTATTCTGATTGTACACTCTCAGAAATAAAGGTATGCGAGCTGTCACTGGGGTGTTACCTTTTCAAAAGGTACAAATTTGAACATAAAAAGTCCATATTAATACCTCCTCAAGGTTACATAGTCCTTAAAAAGTACAAAAGTGTTCCTCTTAAAATTTGTAAGTACTAATATATACTTTTAAGGTACCAATATGGACCCTTTAAGTACAAATGTGCACCTTTTAAAAAGTGACAGCTCTAGTACTTTTATTTCTGAGAGTGTAGGTCCAATGTTCTTTAGTAATTTACAATGAGGCTAAACTGCAAATACTTGTAAAATAATAACAGTTTTATTCAATGAAGCCAGTAACCAACAAAGTTCAGTTGCATTTTTTAAAACTTAGCATTAACATAATCTCTGTAATAATAGATTTGTACACTCTTTTTGAGTTCAAACTTAAAAATGACACAGGAAAAATATTTTAGATATATTTGTCAAGATAAGTTCAGGTTTAGACAAAAAACAGTGCTAAAACAGTTAAGTGGTTATTGCACTTAAAATTATTAAATATAGAGACTACTTGTAAGGTATAAATAATAATTATTATTACCACTGACTTTATAATAATTTAACAATTTATCACCTTTGAAATTTACTCTGAACATTTTTTGCCATTATATCTGCTAAAGTAACTATTCATAGTTGCAGTTCATGTCAGTATTGCGATACTACTATATATTCTGACCAAAGTTTAAAAGATTAGGCTTTATAGCAACAATAATACTTTATACTGTTATTTCGAAAGTGAAGTTCATTAGCACCCATAATAACAATGTGTTTTTTGTATTAACAAAATATTAGCAGTTTTATTTTAACAGTCATTCATTCATTTAGAAGCTATAAACTTTCATTTCACTTTCACCTGTAGGCTTACTAAAACATAAAACATACATTTGTTTATTTAATGCACAATGAAGCCACTGGTTTGGAAACACGTGAATGTTCATTTTAGGGAGAACTATCCCTTTAAATTCCTGTCGTCGAATAACACTGCACAGAGAGCAACCTTGGCGCCAAGTGTGGAATCATGCAGTTGTCCAAATATTAACAAACACTCTACTCGGCCTTCTGTGATTGTATAAACGTCTTTGCCGTTTATCGAACAAAACATTTGCCTGTTACGTCACGACAACCGCGCGAAACGCGGAGGATAACGTGTGTATCTCGACCTCAGGAAGACGGACAGGTGACGTCATGTACATGAGGAATATTCAGCATCCCATAAGCAAAGACAAAGACTGTCTCAAAACCTAGTGAGCTGCCTACCTAGACAACAACAGGCAATTTACTTCATAAACCAGTATATTTGTGCAGGTTTCCTAGTATCAATATAACTTTAATCAAGAAGCTTTTAATAAGTTTGTTGTCTTTTATTTAAAGCCTACACCTACTGTAACTTAAAGGTTTAGCCTATGAGTGAAACAAACAAGGATAGCTGTCAAATAGAAGCTAAATAAACGTACAGTGAAATACATTTTACACGACAAACTCGTATTATCCTCGTTTGTGAATGCTCTATTAGATGAATAATCATTTCAGTTCATAGTCGCGTGAAGCATTTTTGGGCAGCATGCGCCTGTGATGTACAAAAATGCTGCCTAGGTAGGCAACACGCTAGGTTTTGAGACACCGCCAAAGACATGCACGTTCACCCGAGCGGTAATAATGTTGCATTCTCGTTTCCTTGTCCTTTCCCCTTTTTTCCAGATCAGATCTATTGATCCTCTTCCTATTATGGCTTGTTCCCTTGGGACAATTGTTATTACCAGTAGCTGATATCCTGCTTTTCTTTGAATCCGTTGCGTCAAACGCCGTTTAAGCTTGACCAAAACAAGCATCACATTAATAATCGGCTGTAATAATAGTTTATTCTCTTACCTTTCTTTCATATGCAGCTCACACGACCATTAATCCATTATATAGTGCTATCTCTGCCTGGCTCGATCGCGTTTCCCACAACGTTGCAGGACGCATGAGGGAAAATAAATAAATATAGCAGTACCAGTAGCAGCAGCAGCCCTGCCCGTTATTTCCTTGCAGAGGTGATGATAATTTGATATGTCGATGTTGCCATAGAGATGTATACCTTTCTCGGTAGCGAAAGCCGGGAAATATCACTTTATATGTGTATGGAAGGGAATGTTAAACAAGTGAATTAATGCCCTAGCCTAAAATAACAGCCCGTTCATTCTGTTTCTCCACACAAAGCTTGCCTCCCACTCGCTGTCTCTTTCTCTCTCACATGCACACGCACACAAAACAGACCAATCCCATTTAAAGAGATAGCAGCAGAAAAATATCAATAATGCATCGCTTTGGGCTGGTGAGCATTGAATGTTTTGTTAGCGTTGGTTGTAACTCTTCCGTAAGAGAAAGACGAAGGTAATGTTTTGTTATGTAACCCCATGTTGACATGCCTTTTGAAGATGCAGATGCATAATATATTACACAATAATTCAAAATGTTATTAATCTTCAAATGGCAGGTATTTCTAGCTCTCAAAATTGTATTGCCTGAGCAGCGTTCCATGTGTTGAATTATCTTCCATACATGCATAAATGCACATTTTACTCTCAAATTAAGATTAATGCTGTAAAATGTTTTGTATAAATTGCTTGGCTTCACATGGAGTGCATTTACTGGGTGTTTTTAACTGTGTGTTACTTTTTTCTAAGTTAATTTTATATATCAGCAGTGTTCAGTTTTGTAACATTTTGTTTATCAGTATTGAGTTCCCGAATAATGCATTGAAATCGTTTGTAATTGCTCATGTTAGTGCATAAAGGTGTGGTCACTTTTAGATTCTATCCCAAAAAGCTCAGTTTCATGTTGTTTAGTGATGCATATAATGAAGTGTATTATTTGCAATACAGTTTGCACATAGTCAGTTTCAAACCAGTTATGTCAAATATCAAATATTGATATAATGCAAAGTATTGCCATGGCTAACTTGAATAGACAAATAATAATAGTTGAGTGGAAGTTGCTGAAGATTTGGTAAATGTGGCCACACTTTAGCTAACACTATTTTAATGTATAAAGGGATGGTCAAGCCAAACATTTTAAAACGCTTTTTATTTGCTCACCCATAAGTGGTTCCAAACCTTTATGAGTTTTTTTTTTATATGTGCTAAATGCAAAATAGGATATTTTAAAGAAAGCTGAAAACCTGTAACCGTTGACATCCATTGTAGGAAAAAGCAAATAAAGAATTTAGATGTAAACATCTCTAAATTTCATTTGAATTTTTCTTCTAAAATGAGCATTTTTTTCTCAGCCTCCTGTGTGTAGGTTCAGTAATTTCACTTTTACAGCACAGGATATGTGCATGGTCTTTAAAGTGAAATTACTCAACATAAACACAGGAGGCTGAGAAAAATGTTTCATTTTCTATAGAAATTTTAGATGGCACTTAGAGGTTTTTGCATCTGAACTCTTCAAACACTTTACTATGGAAGTCAGTGGCTACAGATCTCCAGCTTTCTTCAAAATATCTTTCTTTGTGTTCAGTAGAAGAATGAAACTCAAATGAGTTTGGAACAAATAAAGTGAGTAAATTATGACAGAATTTAAATGTTTAGGTTACCTATAATGATATTTCAGATTTAAAAATGTCAAAAAGACAGACGTTTGTATTGTAAATCCCATACACTCCTAGTTATGCTTTGCGCTCATCTGATGTTAGTCTTTTAACTGCTCGGTCAACACGCTTAAAAACTATGAGTGACCGGGCATTCTCTACACTGGCTCCTAAATTTTCGACCTCTTTATTCTCTGATATTCGAAATGCAGAATCCCTGAGTATTTTAAAATCATTTCTTAAAGCGTATTTTTTGGGGTAACGTTTTGATTAGATTTTTTTCAATTTATTTAATTTTTAGATATTTTACTATTATTCAAATTTTATGTGTTTTTAATTATTTTTCATTAATTTGTTAATATTTTTTTTCTTTGCATTCATCCTTGTAAATATTTACTTCTGCACTCTATATGTTTGTAAAGTGCCTTGAGATGCTACTTTTAGAGGTTTATTAATAAAGTTTAATATTATTATTATTATTATTAATCATTCATTCATTCGTTCATTTTGTTTTCTGCTTAGTCCCTTTATTAATTAGGGGTCACCACAGCAGGATGAACCCTCAGTTTATCCAGCATATGTTATATGCAGTGGATGCCCTTCCAGCCCAACACTCGGAAACACCCATACACTCTTGCATTCACACTCATACAGTATGGCCAATTTAGCTGATTCAGTTTATCCATAGCGCATGTGTTTGGACTGTGGGGGAAACCGGAGCAAACGGAAAAAACACACATGAACATGGGGAGAACATGCAAACTCCACACAGAACTGCCAACTGACCCAGATGGGCCTAGAAACAGCAACCTTCTTGCTGTGAGGTGATCGTGCTACCCACTGTGTCACCATGACGCCCATTATTATTATTATTATTATTATTATTAATAATTCTTATTGCCTACTTGAACAAGAGTAAAAAAATTTGGGAAGGAAAACATTATCTTACTAGCCATATTCGGTAGGAATTTGTAATTTGTAGATTCTGTCAAATTACATGCTTATCTTATTAATATATTTATATATAACCCATAACCAAAACTGAGTGATTACTCAGTATTATCCTCAAACCTACCCTGAACATAACCTTAACCCATGTAGTAATCTTGTATAATCCAGCATTTTCTTTGGTAAGTACACAATAAGTACACACACTGTAAAATGAAGTGCATCCATATATTTTATTTTTTCCAGAAAGGTAAATTACTCATTCTTAAATAACTGTTTAATGGCAACCTGTGGTGTTTGTTGTCTATGTTGTTGGTTTGAATATTAGCATTGCTATAATGGCCTAAACATCCAAATCACAGAAGTGCTGATTTAGTACAATAAGTAAAAAAAACTTGTTTTATCAATTGAAAAAAAAAAAAACCATGGTCATTTCTTGGAATGGCATTATTTGCTTTTGTCATTAACTTATTAACAGATTAAAAAAAAACATGTGATTAAGTTACTAATCTACAATTTTTGGGGCATTTAAGCTCACCGTAGTGTGCACTAGCAGATTGTTTGACTCATGCACACTCTGATCAGTCATTTCAGCTTTGCCCGGAGGCATAGGATGTATCCGACGCCCATTTTAGCTGCCATTACATAACATCTTCATACTGGCATCAGTGCTTATAGCCAAGAAGTCTGCATCTCCTGCTGCAGTTGTTTGGACAACATTTACGCCCAGTACCCAAACTGGAGCTTCTCACAGACAAGGCACAGACTTTCCGCTTTTCACCATCAGCGGGTCTGTCAAATGGCTGCCGGTGAGTTGCGGCTGTGAGCTGAAGAATTCTTCGGCGCTACCTTTACTCGTTATGCATGCTGAGCGCATCCCGTGTCAGCCTCCACACGGAGTCAGAGAGCTAGAGAGCTATCTATTTATAGCCCGCTCACTTGCTCCCACCCACTCCCAGCCTCCCTCATTGGACGGAGCCTGCACAACAAACCAAGAAATCCTATATGCCTATTAGGATCCTACTCAGTCCTTGGGCATAAATAATGGAGGGATTTTGGTTGTGGGGAGAAGAAGTGCACCTTCTTAATAATGCATGAGCGTATGGGGCAACTGTGCCTCATTCTTCCCATGGATGAAGCTGGGGTGGATGAGCATGTGACCGTATTGTGTTCAATCATCTATTTGGGGTGTAGGGTCTCACTGGCCATCTGGCATACTGAAATTGTGTCTTTAGGGGTCGCCCCGGGGATTTGCTTAGCTCGTTTAAATTGAGAAGGAATGAGTGCTGTCCTAAATTTAGTGTTTTTCGTAGCCTTGGTTGGATGTTTTTTTTTTTTTTTGAATGGAAGGGCCCCTCTCGGCCTCTTCGTGGCTGGCACCAATCTCATCAGTCATGACTTCATGCCATACAAAGGATTCCCACACAATCAGGCCCCGTCCTAGCAGACTCGGCTCTCCATTGGTTTGCGTGTCTGTGTACTTTCACTGCAGGTCTAGGGAATCTCATAAAGACAAGCTTACTCTGGATTATTGTACAAAGCAGCTCAGAGAGAGAGACGGTTATGGTTTATGGTATGTCAATAAAAAGGAGTTATGCGAGAGAGCAGGTTATAACTGCCAAAACCTGATGTTTTCCACGTTTTGCTCCCCCTTACTCACGATTTCTCTTAAACTAACATTTGCAGGTTTGTTTAGAAAATTCTGTAATAATAGGGTTCAGGGTTTCTAAAGGAAACTGTAGGACACAAGCATTTTCAAAGAAACAAAGTGCATTATGTACAAAATGAAACTTTTGTGCAAATATAATTCTGCAACACTGACAAATGACAACAAAAGCCAGCGAAACTGAACTGAACTGAAAGTAAAAACCAATATGAAGAAGGCATGGAAGCTGCGGTATATATATTTATGTAGAAACTGTACAAAACGCTCTGTGTCAGCCTTTTTAAGTTAATAAATTTGCATTTTTGGAGCCTTGGTGTTGCCGCCTTTGATTTACATATATATTTATGTAGAAAATAATAATTTTTGTAATATTTTATTCCTTTAATTCTTTTTCATTTGTAAAGATATTTGCATGTTGCTGTACATCCTGTGTGTATTAAGCATTATGTATGCATTTAAGGTGCACAACTAAAGCGCTCTGCGCTGGACTTTAGACCTGCATTCAGCTGGTCAATTGCGCAGTCTATTTAAGTTCTTCAAAATAGCAACACGTCACCAAAGCACCTTAACACACCTCCATTTTAGACCGGCATACCTATGAGTCCACAAAGCAGTGCAAATGGATTTGCTATTTAAACGTGTTGCAAAACAGGAAATGGGTTGCGTTGGTCTGCAACACATCGCGCAAATAATTAATTTATTTCAAGGCTGCTTAAATACAACAATAAATATTGCTATAATAATTACATAAAATGAACATCTGCACTGGGCAAAATATCTAGCACCCCCTTGTATGCTTGATTCGAACAAGAAAAAATATTCATCCTAAAACATTAAATAAATGTTATAGAAAGCCAAAATGTAAAACATCCACATATTAGAACACTAATCTATATTTTGTTTTAACTGAATTAATAAGCAGACTCATTGTATTTTTTGAAAAATAATGCTTTAGTTAAAGATCTGCCAAATAAAACCTTATAATTCCAAACAGAAAATG